TCCCCCCCCCCCGCCGCCGCGCTGGCGCTCTCCTGGGCGTGTCCCTCTGCCCTGCCCCTTCCCGCCCTCTGCTCCGGCCATGGCCCTGCCCTGGGCGTGTCCCTCTGCCCTGCCCCTTCCCGCCCTCTGCTCCGGCCATGCCCCTGCCCTGGGCGTGTCCCTCTTCCCTGCCCCTTCCCGCCCTCTGCTCCAGCCATGGCCCTGTCCTGGGCGTGTCCCTCTGCCCCTCCCCTTCCCGTCCTCTGCTCCGGCCATGGCCCTGCCCTGGGCGTGTCCCTCTGCTCTGCCCCTCTCAGCCCACCCTGCAGAGCGGCCAGAGGAGCTCCGGGGCGGGCTGTTCTGTGTGTCCCACAGCCTTTCCCAGAGAACGCTCAAGGAGCCCACAGAGGAGCTGTCTGAGCCCTTAGCCCTCATCTTCGAAAGGGCTCCTGCAGAGCGGCCAGAGGAGCTCCGGGGCGGGCTGTTCTGTGTGTCCCACAGCCTTTCCCAGAGAACGCTCAAGGAGCCCACAGAGGAGCTGTCTGAGCCCTTAGCCCTCATCTTCGAAAGATCACAGAAGTCGGGAGAGATTCCAGGGACTGGAAAAGGGCAAATCTGGGGCCCATCTCTCAAAAGGGAAACAACAACAACCCAGGAAACTACAGTCAGTTTGACTTCTGTGCCAGAGAAGATAATGGAGCAAGTCATTAAGGAAATCGTCTGCAAACACATGGAAGATAACAAGGTGATAGGGAACAGCCAGCATGGATTTGAAAAGAACAAATCACGTCAAACCAGTCTGATAGCTTTCTTTGGTAGTCTATTTGATAGGATAAAGAGTCTTGTGGATAAGGGAGAAGAGATGGACGTGGTATACCTAGACTTAAGTAAGGCATTTGATACAGTCTTGCATGATCTTCTTATCAATAAACTAGGGAAATTCAACCTAGATGGGGCTACTCTAAGATGGGTGCATAACTGGCTGGATAACCATTCTCAGAGAGTTGTTATTAATGGTTTACAATCTTGCTGGAAGGGCAGAACAAATGGGGTTCCACAGGGGTCTGTTTTGGGACTGGTTCTGTTCAATATGGGTATGTCTACACTACCCTCCTAGTTCGGACTAGGATTCCTATTCTGAACTACCTAGTTTGAGCCCCGTGTAGCCACGCTGCACGGGGTTCGAACAAGCGGGGTTTTAAAAATGGCGGCTCCCCACTAATGCAAATGAAGCCCGGGAAATTCAAATCCTGGGCTTCATTTGCAAGTGCGGTATGCCTACATTACCCTCCTACTGCAAACTAGCGGGGTAGTGTAGACATACCCTATCTTCATCAACTATTTAGATATCGGCATAGAGAGTACGCTTATTAAGTTTGCAGATGATACCAAGCTGGGAGGGGTTGCAAGTGCTTTGGAGGACAGGGTCATAATTCAAACTGATCTGGACAAACTGGAGAAATGATTTGAGGTAAATAGGTTGAAGTTTAATAATGACACAGGCAAAGTGCTCCACTTACGGTATGTCTACACTACCACCCTAGTTCGAACTAGGGTGGTAGTGTAGACATACCCTTAGAAAGGAACAATACGTGTCACCCATACAGAATGGGAAGTGACTGTCTAGGAAGGCGTCCTGTAGAAAGGGATCTAGGTATCACAGTGGACCACAAGCAAAATATGCATCAGCAGTGTGATGCTGCTGCAAAGAAAGGAAACATGATTCTGGGCTGCATTAACAGGTGTGTGGTGAGCAAGGCACGAGAAGTCATTCTTCCACTCTACTCTGCGCTGGTTAGGCCTCAGTTGGAGGATTGTGTCCAGTTCTGGGCACCGCATTTCAAGAAAGATGTGGAGAAATTGGAGAGGGTCCAGAGAAGAGCAACAAGAATGATTAAAGGTTTAGAGAACATGAGCTAAGAGGGAAGACTGAAAGAATTGGGCTTGTTTAGTTTGGAAAAGAGAAAACTGAGCGGGGACGTGATAGTGGGTTTCAAGTATCTAAAAGGGTGTCACAGGCAGAAGGGGGAAAATGGTTCTCCGTGGCCTCTGAGGACAGGACAAGAAGCAAAGGGCTTAAACTGCAGCAAGGGAGGTTTAGGTTGGACATTAGGAAAAAGTTCCTAACGGTCGGGGTGGTTAAACACTGGAATAAATTGCCCAGGGAGGTTGTGGAATCCCCATCCCTGGAGATATTTAAGGGCAGGTTGGACAGACACTGTCAGGGATGGTTTAGATTGGTGCTTGGTCCTGCCAAAGCAGCAAAACTTAGGGGGGAGGATTAACAGGAGGGAGAGGGGGGACTGGGTCGCCTCGCTCCCTCCCTGGAATTTCTTCACGCCCCCCCCCCGGGGGGACACGGCCCCAGTTTGGGAACCCATGGTTTAACCTATTCATAAATGATCTGGCAATAAAAGATATATTAGAATTCTAGTACTAGTGAGTTGGCAAAATTTTCAGATGATGCAAAATTACTCAAGATAGTTAATTCTAAAGCAAAAGAGTAAAAAATACAAAAGTATCTCATGAAACTGGGTAACAAAATGGCTGATGAAATCCGGTGTTGGTAAATATAAAGAAATGCATCCAATATACATAGAAAATGAGGGCATCTAAATTAACGGTTGCTACTCAAGAGAGAGATTTTGCAGTCATTATGGATAATTCTCCAGAAATTCTGTGTGTGTGTTCTCTGGGACTTTCCACTATCCTGTCCTGCTGGACCAGAGCTGGTGTAACTATGCTCCTTCCCTTGCAGAGCAATGCAGATACTGAACCACTTGAGCTCTGGGAGAATGCCATTCTAGTGCACAGCACCTAACCCCCAAATGGGATCAAAACCCCAAATAAATCAGTCTTTCTCTGAGTAAAAGTTTTACACAAAGAAGTCCCGTGGTTGCCTCGGGCGGCGCTGGCAGACACGGGCTCCGCGGCGCTGCTCTGAGTGCAGAGTGAAGCCACCCAAGCTGCCTTCCAAACAAACTTGCGTGTCAGGAATCGGGCGTGGCCTGAGCTCCTGTTAAGTAACGATGACCCCGGCATGCTTATAAAGGAAGGGAGGCAGCTCCCCAGCTAGCTGTGCCTCAGAGCCCAGGGCCAGCCACCGCCGAGCGCTTCGCGTCTCCTTGGGAGCTCAGGTACGTTGCCAGACACGTGGGGGAGGGTTCAGTTCGGTCGGAGAGGGGCTGCCGCGTCCCGGCCGGGAGGGGTCTGACACTGCTCCAAAGACCGGGGCCAGTCCTGGTATTTACTCCTTAGCAGGACGCCCCGCCGTTCCCCAGCGGGATTTCTTGCTGCTTTCTGCAGCGCCTGAGCTTGTTCTCCAGAGGGAATGGGGCTGGATCTGGCGCTGCTGGGGGCTGCCACCCCGTCCGGAAGCAGTTTCCATCATACGCAGGGTTTGCAGTTCGGTTCATTAGCTCTCACACCCCCACTCCACACACTGGTCCAGCGCCTCTGGGCATCCCTGGTTCTCAGGAGTCCTTGGTGGCTCTCGGGGGCAGGGGAGCGATCCAGCTTGCCTTACAAATGGGGGTGGGATGCCAGAGCTGGCCCGAGGCTGGTTTTAAGTGCAGGAGGCTGAAGAGCCCATGGACGGGGGTCTCCACGCTGCTTTTGTTGGGACGGTCCGGACAGGCCCAGGGCCGGCTGCCTGGCCGGGGACCGTGGGCCGAGAGTTAATGCTTTTCCTCTGTCTGGGTGCCAGTGAGACTCACCCCTGGCAGCGGGGCTCATCTGTTCAAAGGAGCAAAGAGAAATACCTCAGAGCCCACGGCCTGCCGC